TCTGTCCCACTAGGCCATGCAAACCTGTCTTAGTGTTCCCCTGTGTACCTTGTTCTTCTGTGTCGAGGTCCTCTGTTGGGGTCCAGCCTAGACAAGGAAGTGTGAGTGTCACGAAGAAGGGAGATCTGGCGGCGAAAGGGATAGAGAGAGAAACGAAATATATACAGAAAAGACAGACACACAGATATGATGCAAGCTGGCAGGTAGGCAGATCTGCAAACATATTGCCTAGCGTTGCACGCAGAACTCACTCTACCTCAGTCTTTTATTCTCTTTTTTAGGGAGGGATTTGTTACAAAGGAAGGATGTAATTCACAAACGGAGGATGTGATTCTTTAGTTAAGACAGGATATAGAACTGAAATGTGATTACTCATTCAAAACAGGACATAATGATTCACAAGAACAACTTTTAAAATATTTTCATAGTTTTTCTTAACAATCTAACATTTTTATTTTTGCAGAAAAAAGGTTCAATCAAGCTGTCATATATTAACTTTTAGGCTTAAATGATCTAGAGCAGCGACGTGCAGTTTCTTAAGGATACTTAACATAAAGTTAGGTTCCTGAAAGGAGCCAATCTGTCTCTGTACGCTTTGCAAACTTTTGTTTGTGAGCAAGATCTCAGGCACTGTGCTTCATTTACCTATATCTAAAATGCTACATTGTTCTTAATTATCACATTCCTATATACTTTCAGGAGGAAGGAGAGCATCTGGGTTAAACTGATTATATTCAGAGGTGGTTTAATGGGGCTGCCACTATTATCCTCTAATCCAACATTACCAGAATTTACCGTTCCACTTTATTTACAAACCTTGGGTAGTTTTTCCTCTAAAAACCTTTTCTCATATTCCCAATATACCTGTTCCTGGGCTTTCTGAATTATCTGAGGAAACTTTTACTGCCTCGGCTCTATAAAGGGTTTTCAACCCCATTATTGTTCATGGATATCAAACATAACTGAATAATCAAATAAGGAGCAGTTCTGACATTCATCCCAGGTGGCTATCGCTTGTTCCTCAGAAAGATTTGTTCCCAGGACTCCACGCACTGCCAACACAGTGGAGGCGTTAAGAGAGGCATTGTAAAA